TTAGGGGTTTAGGGGCTTAGGGCTTCCGCATGTTGCGACTAAGATCCCTGCATGTTGATGGTGAGTACTGAGGCTCGCTCGATTCTTCTTCCCCACTCTCTATACATACACATACATATGCATTCAACTGAAACTCAAAGGGTGTGTACATGAGCACATATTAATATAAATAAACAAATAAACAAATANNATAAATAAATATATATATATATGCACAGCTCCGAATAAACAGGTAAAGACACACATCAAAATATACATGCATAAGCACACCTAGCAGTCTACATCCTGTGCAACAGAGGCGCCGAGAGCGCGATGCGGCGAAAGGCCTTGCGTGCATCCTTGGCAACAAAGCTTCATAGTTTCGTGTCTACAGAGGGTTCAGACAGGGTTGAGGCGTAGGAGTACTTAGCACGAGGATTCAAAGGTTTGCTGTTTATGCGGACAAGCTTACATTGCTAGGCACCCCTCTGCATGGCGGATGTTGAAGGGACCTTCGTCTAAATCACTATCCGAAGAGATGCTTTGAGCCCATACTTAAGAAAAACATAGAACAACACTCGGTGTGTCAACTAGACTTGGAAAGTTCGACTACTTGCGTAAACGTCGGCGTCTGCTGTGCGGCCATGGGTCTGGATTTTGCTGGGAGTTCCAGAAAGTAAGGCACCCTGGCTATATGCCAACAAGCTTTCCTGGAGGTCCCGGACCACCAACTCAAGCACGCCGAAACTGTGCCGAAAGGGCGCTCAGATCGAACAAGTGCGAAGAAGATTCTGCCAACAACATGTCTTCCCCACTCGGTGAAACAATTTCGAACACGACGACCCAAATAATTAGAAATGTAATGGAATGCACGCCGAACCGTTTAAGACGTATCCACAAGCAAACATCTTGCACAAAAATAGAGGTAGCGAATATCCACACCATAAGCCTTAACACTACAACCCAACGCCTTAAACAAGCGCAACCCCTAAACCCTAAACCCCTTTTTTTCAAACCCGTATTCCCGAAAGCTTCAGCGAAGGG